CCCCCCGCATCCCCCTTCTGTTCTGAAATGTGATTTGTCCTTTTCATATGTGTTCATTTTTTAAAATTGTATCCTTTAGTATATATGGTTGTGACTATTTTCTTCCACTATTTGATCTGAGGAAGTGGGTCTGGCCCACAAAAGCTCATTATCTAATAAACCATCTTATTAGTCTTTAAAGTGCTACATAGTCCTGTATTTTGTTTCAGCTACACCAGTCTAACACGGCTACATTTCTATCACTATGTCACTGAATAGTTATTGTCTGAGCCGAGTATTGCCTGCCCCTCCCCCTAGCATTTCCCACCGCTGTGAAAATCGAGCATGGTAAAACTGCAACTGGGAGCATGTAACTAGATCCATATAAATACTCAACTGTTACTTTATCTGTCAACATCAGACATCAAACAATGAATTCTGCACAAGATTCACTCTCGCTCCTTATTGGCACAGTTCTGGGAACTGAGCAGCCCAGCCTGGTGGATTCTGGGGAACATGTGATGCCCCAGAGACTCGCCACACCAGATCAGAGGTAGGTGCTAGAGCCAGAGTGTGGGACATTGATCACCAAAGCCTCAGGGCTGGGATGTCTCCTGCTGGCTCTTCCCCTTCCAGGAAATAGCCTGAGTCAGCTCCACAGAGGAGAACAGCCCATTGTTGCTGGAGGCAGGTAGAGCCTGAGCGCAGGAAATCGAAACTGATCCTCTTCCCCAGCCCAGAGGGAGCCATGGCCGCAGTGAGCACTGTGGAAAGTCTCAGAATCAAAGTGACTTGTCCTGTTTGCCTGGAGTATTTCACGGATCCGGTGGTCACAGCCTGTGGGCACAATTTCTGTCGCGCCTGCCTCAGCCAGTGCTGGGAGGGACCCGGCCCAACTAACCACTGCCCACAGTGCAGGGACCCTGTGCAGCAAGGACCTCTCCCGCCCAACAGGCAGCTGGCGAACGTGGTGGAACTAGTCAAACAGCTCAGTTTGCAGGTAATGAAGGGAGCGGGCATGGGCAGGATGTGTGGGGAGCACCAGGAAGTGCTGAAGCTGTTCTGTGAGGAGGATCAAGCCCCATCTGTGTAGTCTGCAGAGAGTCCTGGGGGCAGCAAGCGCACACGGTGCTGCCCATCTTCTGGGGAATTACTCTGAGTTTGAGTCACTGACTAATTTCCCTGACTGTTCTATGGCCCAGTGCGACTCACCAACCAGCTGAAGCCTGCCTGGCTCAGGAGAGGCTGGGACAAAAGAAATGCTCCAGCTGAGGGGGGGTAAGGGGAGGAGGCAACAGAGGCCAAATTCCAAGTCTTTAAAGACACCGGATGTGAGAAACTTCTCTGAGATGCTCAGCGGAATCCTCCTGAAACCAGCCCTCTATGAGAGCGGCGAGGAGTCCTGTGGCACCTTATAGACTAACTGAAGTGTAGGAGCATAAGCTTTCGTGGGCAAAGACCCACTTCCTCAGATGCAGCCCTCTATGGGGGAAATGAGAGCCTGTTACTGAATGGGAGGGATATGGATCAGTGGCAGGCTGGCTATGGGAATGTGCTGTCTTCAGACTGGAGAAGGGAGGTTACAAGCTGCTGTTGTTGTTACAAATGTGATGACTAGAATTTAATGTTATTACTTGTGTTTGCATCACAGTAGCCCTTACAGGTCCCACATGAGATCCAGGCTTTGCACAAAACAAAACTAGGGACAATCTCTTCCCTGAGCGGTTTACAGTCTAGATAGACAAACGTTGGGAAGGAAAACTGAGGTACAAAGCAGGGGGAGAGGGGGTGAAAGAGAGGAAGAAAGGTGAATGAGCTAGGAGGTTAGTAGCTGATGTCAGTCTAGAACTATCCCCCCAATTTTTCCAGGTACATTTTATGATCCTAACCAATAGGCCATGCTGCCACCTCAGGTGCAGGGTTGAAACATATTTATTAGGAGAGAAAGATGCCCAGTAAGTTGAGGCAGTTTCCCACTGGGATGCTGAACTCCTGGACTGTGTCTAGACTGAAAAACTTGCCTGCTGTCTACATTGGCTGCTTGAATTTCTGCAAAAGCACTGACGATCTCATGTAAGATTGTCAGTGCATTTGCGGAAAAACTATGCTGCTCTTGTTCAGGCAAAAGTCTTTTTCCGAAAGACTTTTGCGCAAAAGGTCCAATGTAGACAGCAGAGATTTCCTTTCCGCAAAAAAGCCCGATCACGAAAATGGCAATCAGGGCTTTTTTGCGGAAAAGCGCATCTAGATTGGCCACGGACGCTTTTTCGCAAAAAGTGCTTTTGTGGAAAAGCATCCTGCCA